ACAGAGTGATATCTTATTGTGCCTAGAGCACCCCTGTTCTTTATTGGATTTACACTACCTCCTGTATCTCTTAATCCAGCACACTGTTATTTGTAATCTAACCCTCCAGTTACTTCCAGGTATATATTATTAGATATCTCGGTTCTCCACCCAGGAGAATTTATTCCAGGTATGTTGAAGCATTTCCATTGGTCTAAATGCTTTATTGACTTTATGTAGACAGTAAACTATCTTTGTTCATTTTCCAGCTTATTTATCTCCTCTGCCTTTAGTGGAGCTGTACACACAGGACAATATTCTACATGTGAGAGTACCTGTATTTGAGTACTGTAGTACCATCATGACATTATTTCTCTTGTTTTTAAAGCTCTCTTTATCCACCCTATTATTTTTCTGGCCTTTCACCATTAGTTTTATTGAATTTCTTCAAACGACAGCTTATCTGACATTATTATTCCTGAGTCTTTTACCTTTTTCTTATACAGTGGTACCTTGATTTAAGAGTTTAATTCATTTTGTGACCCAGCTCGTAACTCAGTTTGCTTGTATATCAAATCAATTTTCCTCATTGAAATTAACTGAAATGCTATTAATCCATTCCAGCTCCCAAAAAACCACCCCATTTTCTTTTGTTACAGGTTTTTAAATGTACTAAAGGAGGGGTGTTAATGTTGCAGTTTAAAAACTGTAGTGTAAAGCACCCTTCTGGCAAGACAGTGATGGAGTGAATGATGGTGAAAGTTTTTCTTTTTCGGGCCACCCTGCCTTGGTGGGAATCGGCCAGTGTGATAATAATAAAAAAAAATTTATAAATAAGAAATATTGTATATGTATACTCCACCCATCACCTTCACTACTCCACCCACCATTATCACTACTCCATCCACCACCCTCACTACACCCACCACCATCTCTACTACACTCACCACCATATCTACTCCACCCACCACTATCACTACTCCACCCACCACTATCACTACTCCACCCACCACTATCAGTACTCCACCCACCACTATCACTACTCCACCAATCACCATGACTACTCCACCCACCACTATCACTACTCCACCCACCACTATCACTACTCCACCCACCACTATCAGTACCCCACCCACCTTAATTAATGTTTCTGGAAAAACTCCGAGTATTTAAATGGAGGTTACCTCTTCCCCGGATTTATATGAGAACAAAACAAGGGACGAGGTGCCTCACTACAATCTGGGATTAGTGTGGGATTATTATCCTTCCAATTATGTCTTGGAAGAACATATGGGATGGGACAAAGTACCTGATATTCCTCTGCGTGCAGAGTTGGATTTGATCTTAGATATGCTGCCAATTAGTGGCGGCGTGTCAGTAACTTGGATTTTGGTTTGCAACTGAGAGCAAAAAATCAACCAAGTGACGGCTCATAACTCGGAAAACTCATAAGTTGGGGCACTCGTAGCTAGCAGAGTGCATACATATCCTCTGAATGCTAAGACAGTGCTGGCTACAAGCATCAGCAAGTGTTCAGTATGGTTAAAAGAGTTTATTTCTTTCGTATTGAAAAATACATGTCAAGAACTTTTGATGAAAATAAGAAATTATTTTGGAGTGAGATAAACAAGTTAAGAAAGCCTAGGGAACGAATGGATTTGTCAGTTAAAAACAGAGTAGGAGAGTTAGTAGATGGGAAGATGGAGGTATTGGGTAGATGGCGGGAATATTTTGATTAACTTTTAAATGTCGATGAAGAAAGGGAGGCAGTAATTTCATGCACAGGCCAGGGAGGTATACCATCTTTTAAGAGTGAAGAAGAGCAGGATGTGAGTGTGAGGGAGGTGATTGAGGCATTACGTAGAATGAAAGGGGGTAAAGCAGCTGGAACTGATGGGATCATGACAGAAATGTTAAAAACAGGGGGGGGGGGATATAGTGTTGGAGTGGTTGGAGTGGTTGGAGGCAAAGAGGGGAATGTATGAGAGTATAGTTTTACCAACGCTCTTATATGGGTGTGAAGCGTGGGTGATGAATGTTGCAGCGAGGAGAAGGCTGGAGGCAGTGGAGATGTCATGTCTGAGGGCAATGTGTGGTGTGAATATAATGCAGAGAATTCGTAGTTTGGAAGTTAGGAGGAGGTGCGGGATTACCAAAACTGTTGTCCAGAGGGCTGAGGAAGGGTTGTTGAGGTGGTTCGGACATGTAGAGAGAATGGAGCAAAACAGAATGACTTCAAGAGTGTATCAGTCTGTAGTGGAAGGAAGGCGGGGTAGGGGTCGGCCTAGGAAGGGTTGGAGGGAGGGGGTAAAGGAGGTTTTGTGTGCGAGGGGCTTGGACTTCCAGCAGGCATGCGTGAGCGTGTTTGATAGGAGTGAATGGAGACAAATGGTTTTTAATACTTGACGTGCTGTTGGAGTGTGAGCAAAGTAACATTTATGAAGGGATTCAGGGAAACCGGCAGGCCGGACTTGAGTCCTGGAGATGGGAAGTACAGTGCCTGCACTCTGAAGGAGGGGTGTTAATGTTGCAGTTTAAAAACTGTAGTGTAAAGCACCCTTCTGGCAAGACAGTGATGGAGTGAATGATGGTGAAAGTTTTTCTTTTTCGGGCCACCCTGCCTTGGTGGGAATCGGCCGGTGTGATAATAAAAAAAATAAAAATGTATGAAAGAGGGGAAGGTACCTAGGGGTTGGCAGAGAGCATGTATTATTCCTTTATATAAAGGGAAGGGGGACAAAAGAGATTGGAAAAATTATAGAGGAATAAGTTTATTCCTCTATAGGGTTATTGAAAGAATTAAGAGGCAAGACAGAGTGTAGGATTGCTGATGAGCAAGGAGGTTTTAGAATGGGTAGGGGATGTGTAGATCAAGTGTTTACATTGAAGCATATATGTGAACAGTATTTAGATAAAGGTAGGGGAGTTTTCATTGCCTTTATGGATTTAGAAAGGCATATGACAGAGTGGATAGAGGAGCAATGTGGCAGATGTTGCAAGTATAAGGAATAGATAGTAAGTTACTAAATGCTGTAAAGAGTTTTTATGAGGATAGTGAGGCTCAGGTTAGGGTGTGTAGAAGAGAGGGAGACTACTTCCCGGTAAAGGTGGGTCTTAGACAGGGATGTGTAATGTCACCATGGTTGTTTAATATATTTATAGATGGGGTTGTAAAAGAAGTAAATGCTAGGGTGTTGGGGAGAGGGGTGGGATTAAATTATGAGAAATCAAATACAAAATGGGAATTGACACAGTTACTTTTTGCTGATGATACTGTGCTTATGGGAGATTCTAAACAAAAGTTGCAAAGGTTAGCAGATGAGTTTGGGAATGTGTGTAAAGGTAGAAAGTTGAAAGTGAACATAGAAAAGAGTAAGGTGATGAGGGTATCGAATGATTTAGATAAAGAAAAATTGGATATCAAATTGGAGAGGAGTATGGAAGAAGTGAATGTTTTCAGATATTTGGGAGTTGACATGTCAGTGGATGGATGGATGAAGGATGAGGTTAATCATAGAATTGATGAAAGAAAAAAGGTGAGTGGTGCATTGAAGTATATGTGGAGACAAACAATATCTATGGAGGCAAAGAAGGGAATGTATGAAAGTATAGTAGTACCAACACTCTTATATGGGTGTGAAGCTTGGGCTGTAAATGCTGCAGTGAGGAGGCAGTTGGAGGCAGTGGTGATGTGTCTAAGGGCAATGTGTGGTGTAAATATTATGCAGAGAATTTGGAGTGTGGAAATTAGGAGGAGGTGTGGAGTTAATAAAAGTATTAGTCAGAGGGCTGAAGAGGGGTTGTTGAGGTGGTTTGGTCATTTAGAGAGAATGGATCAAAGTAGAATGACATGGAGAGCGTACAAATCTGTAGAGGAAGGAAGGCGGGGTAGGGGTCGTTCTCGAAAAGGTTGGAGGGAGGGGGTAAAGGAGGTTTTGTGGGCGAGGGGCTTGGACTTCCAGCAAGCATGCGTGAGCATGTTAGATAGGAGTGAATGGAGACAAATAGTATTTGGGACCTGATGAGCTGTTGGAGTGTGAGCAGGGTAATATATAGTGAAGGGATTCAGGGAAACCAGTTTTTTTTATATAGCCAGACTTGAGTACTGGAAATGGGAAGTACAATGCCTGCACTTTAAAGGTGTTTGGGATATTGACAGTTTGGAGGGATATGTTGTGTATCTTTACATGTATATGCTTCTAAACTGTTGTGTTCTGAGCACCTCTGCAAAAACAGTGATTATGTATGAGTGAGGTGAAAGTATTGAATGATGATAAAAGTATTTTCTTTTTGGGGATTTTTGGGTCACCCTGCCTCGGTGGGAGACGGCCAACTTGTTAAAAAAAAAAAATGTTAGAGGAATGGTACCTTAGAAGTTTGTTTTACTTTGGTGAGTCAGGATGCCAGAGCTTGCAACTCTCACACATTTCTCCTCTCATGTCAAGACATACAGCATTCTATTCTGCTGGATTATACAGGGAATAATGTCTAAACCACTAATGCAGTATATAAATCAGTCAACCTCACATGTTTGTCTCCATGTGGTTATTATTGAGCATGTAGATGTTACTTGTTTCCTTTTAAGCTTTATTTAAAGAGATAAGGTTAAAACTTAATTGATCACCATCATTTGCTGCTAACCAAATTTCCATCACACACACAAGATCATCCAAGTGTGTTACATACATGGATAGCCATTTGCTTGATGTTGAACAACTTTTTCAATATATATGTAATATATTTAATGTCTAGTAAATCTTGAAACTGATTTTCACCTCTTAAATGTTTAATCCCCCTTTAAGCACTGCCTCCCAAGCATTCCAAAATCTTGGAACTCACCCTGAGCTTTAAACAAGGTATGTGTGTATCACCAATCACCATGACCAGATATGCAAGTCCTGAGGAGCAAAGTGCTATCTCTGCAAACTTTTATAGTTGAGTGTAGGTAGTATTAATTAGCCACAGTATTATACTATGTATACCTATACTGTACTGATAACTGTTGTAAGCTCACATGCCAGGTTGACTGTCTGCGCAGCTGTCTTTGCACCCAGAAAAATTTACTGACGGTAAAACGAATATTCGCTGTGGAGGAAGACGAACCAGTACGCTCCGCAAGAATTTCAATGAAAGGAGATAGGATATGTCTGCATTACCTACGAAATAAGCCTGCGTCCAATAACACCAAAACTTTCAAGGTTGGTTGAATCTGAAAATTTTTAGATTTGTATAGAGAAAAAGTTTTCTCCATTTGTTGAAAAAGGAATGTGTATAACTTCATTAGTAAGGTCTACTTTCTAGAGCTTTAAATGTAACCTCATTAGCAAGGTCTAATACTTTCTAGGGTTTTATCTGTTCATTCTTATCCATGAATCTTCATTTATTGTAAACTAGTGACTTGATGACCCATATGGTCTTAGTTCTTGCTTTTGATAATGATAGTCTCTATTCATAAAAAGTTATATAATACAATTAATACAGGAATAGTTGACAACTTTGGCATACTTTACAGAAATCTCCTGATTATGCAGAGCATTGTGGGCAGCCTTAAAATTTAGTTATAACTACAGATGTTTTTGAGATTAAATTGGTTTACCTGAACGATAAAATATACAATCTCTGATATTAACTCCAACAATCTGGATTATTTTTGTAAGATAATTTGTAATAATGTGTAAAGTCCTTTTTGAGAAACTCATCGTAAGGCTTACATGTTACTTAAGTACAGTGGAACCTCAGTGTTCAAATGTACCAGACTTCAAACAAACCAGAGTCTGAACAATTTTGTTCAGAAAAATTGGCCTGGTCTTTGAAAGTTTTTCTGGAGTTCGAATGCACTGACTTGCTTAAAATTCACTTGTAAAAACTTTACATGAAAGCCCTGTTTCAAAAGTGTTTTGAAGTGACCTCTGACACTGACCTAACTCTCAGAGACTTTTGGAAGCCAGTTCAACATCCTTCAGTGTGTGAGGCTGATAATTAAAGCCTGGGGAAATATTGTTTCGGACATCAACCTTTTCGCAATTCAAACACCACCTAAGAACCAATTAAGTTCAAACACTGGGGTTCCACTGTTCTAAATATATCCAGTTATGAAGTACTGTACAGCCCGTTAATAAATAGCCTATTATGAAGTATAGCCTATTACTAAAAATAACCTATTATGAAGTACAGTGCCTGCACTCTGAAGGAGGGGTTTTATGATGCAGTTTTATAACTGTAGTGTAAGTACACCTCTGGCAAGACAGTGATGGAGTGAATGATGGTAAAAGTTTTTCTTTTTCGGGACACCTTGCCTTGGTGGGAAACAGCTGATGTGTTTAAATAAAAAAAAATGTAGGACTTCTTATATGTACTTATACTTCTTATATGTGAACAGTATTTAGATAAAGGTAGGGAAGTTTTTATTGCATTTATGGATTTAGAAAAGGCATATGATAGAGTGGATAGAGGAGCAATGTGGCAGATGTTGCAAGTATATGGAATAGGTGGTAAGTTACTAAATGCTGTAAAGAGCTTTTATGAGGATAGTGAGGCTCAGGTTAGGGTGTGTAGAAGAGAGGGAGAATACTTCCCGGTAAAAGTAGGTCTTAGACAGGGATGTGTAATGTCACCATGGTTGTTTAATATATTTATAGATGGGGTTGTAAAAGAAGTAAATGCTAGGGTGTTTGGGAGAGGGGTGGTATTAAATTATGGGGAATCAAATTCAAAATGGGAATTGACACAGTTACTTTTTGCTGATGATACTGTGCTTATGGGAGATTCTAAAGAAAAATTGCAAAGGTTAGTGGATGAGTTTGAGAATGTGTGTAAAGGTAGAAAGTTGAAAGTGAACATAGAAAAGAGTAAGGTGATGAGGGTATCAAATGATTTAGATAAAGAAAAATTGGATATCAAATTGAGGAGGAGGAGTATGGAAGAAGTGAATGTTTTCAGATACTTGGGAGTTGACGTGTCAGCGGATGGATTTATGAAGGATGAGGTTAATCATAGAACTGTTGAGGGAAAAAAGGTGAGTGGTGCGTTGAGGTATATATGGAGTCAAAAAACGTTATCTATGGAGGCAAAGAAGGGAATGTATGAAAGTATAGTAGTACCAACACTCTTATATGGATGTGAAGCTTGGGTGGTAAATGCAGCAGCGAGGAGACGGTTGGAGGCAGTGGAGATGTCCTGTCTAAGGGCAATGTGTGGTGTAAATATTATGCAGAAAATTCGGAGTGTGGAAATTAGGAGAAGGTGTGGAGTTAATAAAAGCATTAGTCAGAGGGCAGAAGAGGGGTTGTTGAGGTGGTTTGGTCATTTAGAGAGAATGGATCAAAGTAGAATGACATGGAAAGCATATAAATCTATAGGGGAAGGAAGGAGGGGTAGGGGTTGTCCTCGAAAGGGTTGGAAAGAGGGAGTAAAGGAGGTTTTGTGGGCTAGGGGCTTGGACTTCCAGCAAGAGTGCATGAGTGTGTTAGATAGGAGTGAATGGAGGCGAATGATACTTGGGACCTGACGATCTGTTGGAGTGTGAGCAGGGTAATATTTAGTGAAGGGATTCAGGGAAACCGGTTATGTTCATATAGTCGGACTTGAGTCCTGGAAATGGGAAGTACAATGCCTCCACTTTAAAGGAGGGGTTTGGGATATTGGCAGTTTGGAGGGATATGTTGTGTATCTTTATACGTATATGCTTCTAAGCTGTTGTATTCTGAGCACCTCTGCAAAAGCAGTGATAATGTGTGAGTGTGGTGAAAGTGTTGAATGATGATGAAAGTATTTTCTTTTTGGGGATTTTCTTTCTTTTTTGGGTCACCCTGCCTCGGTGGGAGACGGCCGACTTGTTGAAAAAAAAAAAAAAAACTTCTTGTAAGTACAATAAGAAAGGTAACTCATGACAAATGAGCAATTACAAAAGAATTACATATTGTTTAAACTGATTCAATGATCTTCACTTTTGTGGAGTTTTTGGTGAAGATAAGGCAAGTTACTTAGATTACAATACAACTAAAAATAGAACAATATATGTTTTGAATATACAGTAATAATAATAATGTCAGTGAGAATTTTTGTCATACAGACTCCGCAAAAAAACTTCGCCGCCAAGAAAATTTCAACAGCATAACAGTTTAAATAGCAGTGTGAGGAGGTGTTAGGTAGCAAGTGACAGTATGCAAAGATAGTAACACTGCAAATATAGAGTGCAGAGGCCGTGCTTAAATAGTAACTCGTCCAGAAACTTGAGTGAGTTGGCATAATGTAGGTCAGATATTAACATTATTGAAGAATATCCTGTAATACCGTGAAGTAATAACTATGAATGAAAGCTGAAGGAACTTAGTGTAAACATCCATATGTTCATATTAATAAGACAAACTTAATATAATGAGTGGTTTTTTTTCCACAGCACAACCAGTTGATGAGGGTGCTTGATCCCACTTCCACAGTGGTGTTTTTAGATCTGGCTTGGGAAGGCTCATCTGGAGGTAGAGTTTACATCAAGCTTTCCAACACTGCCACCAATCAGTGGGCCCAACAGTTTCTTGCCCTGTGCACAGGTCAGCAGGGCCCCACCTATGCTAACACACGCTTTCTTGGCGTATTTAGGCACGTGCATGAGGAGGGAGTGTTGGCAGGGGATTACGAACATAATAATGGAAATGGTGGAGCAGCACTCCAGCCAGGCCTGGCATCATCACAGTGTTCAGGGAAGTGGACAGAGGGAACAGTGGCAGGACGGAGGGAGGATGACGAAACGGCAGCACAGTTCTACATCATCACAAGAGCCAATGCAGGAAGTGTAGGTCAGGCTGTCTTAGGTCAGGTGGAGAGTGGCCTGGGGGTGGTAAGATCAGCAGTCAGTCTCCGTGACATCAGACAGGTGTCTGTTATAGACTGTGGTGTTGTCCTGCCTCTCTGACAACATTGTCTAGCACCTTAGCATCCATTCTTGTAATTTTTTTATTACTTTCATCTTTGCTTTCAGAGCTGTTGGCCTTCTCTCTCACTTTCAGTTTACTTATACTTCCACTATGATAACTGTTATCAGTCATCTTCTTTCTTACAACTATGGTCTTATCTTCCACTAAAGTAACTGTTGTCATTCCTTTGCCCATTCCAATATGTCATTTTTTCTCCTTAGCCTAACTAGTGTCACTCCTGCCTTCACTCTTGCTGCTTACACTATCATTTTAACTAAAGCATTTGTTGCTATATTGACTCAAAACTGTTGGTTTGGGTTATTTTTATTGTGTAGTACCATACTTTTTATTCACTAAAGTAACCAGTGTCAACTTTATCCACATTCTTTAAACAAGTATGTCACTTGTTATTCTGACTTCAGTCTCATACAAATTTCACTTAAATTACCATTGTCATTTCTACTTCTGTCATATCTCTCATAAGACTCATCACTCACTGCCTTCTCTTTGTGATATTTGCTGCTTCTTTTAGCCCAGTAGAAACCAAGGTAAACTTTGCTGTAAATATTATATAGAGTTTTATTGCTATCAATTCATCAGCTAATACTTGTAAAGAAATAACTGCCACTGCAATACTTTTGACTATACACAATAATAGGAACAGCATACTTGGAAGACAATATTGCACAGGTTCTAGTTTCCCTTAGTGTCTTCACAATATTAGCTTCACACTCCAGCAGCACGTCAAATCCAAAAACAGCTTGTCTTTACTAACCCCAGTCTAACACACTCACATGCCTTCTGGATAGTCAGCTCATTACCATATAAAACCTTCACACCTGTCTTCAAACTATTAATGGAAGCTATATTTTCTTTAACACTCTAATTTTTTTTTTTTTAACAAGTCGGCCGTCTCCCACCGAGGCAGGGTGACCCAAAAAAGAAAGAAAATCCCCAAAAAGAAAATGCTTTCATCATCATTCAACACTTTCACCACACACACATAATCACTGTTTTTGCAGAGGTGCTCATAATACAACAGTTTAGAAGCATATAGTACGTATAAAGATACAACATATCCCTCCAAACTGCCAATATCCCAAACCCCTCCTTTAAAGTGCAGGCATTGTACTTCCCATTTCCAGGACTCAAGTCCGACTATATGAAAATAACCAGTTTCCCTGAATCCCTTCACTAAATATTACCCTGCTCACACTCCAACAGATCGTCAGGTCCCAATATCAGATCAAATAAAAAATTAAATAATGAAAAATATTGAGGAAAAATGACAGTGAAAATATTGAAATGCATTCTTCTACCTACAATACAGGCAGCCTTGAAAATGTATGGATGCAATTACTGACTGTAAATTAATAGCACAATTGTTCCAAAGCTGCTCTCATATTTTTTCTTGGAATTTCAAAGCAATTTGCTCAGAATATGGGAAAAACCCTTGGTGAGTGATGTGAAGCATTGTGAAATAAGCCTTTTACAGTTAGTCCAGCTTCAGTTTTGGGGAAGAGGGCAGAAATGTTTGAAGATTTAAAAGCCATGACTATAGAGTGTATAAAATACTCAATATTTTATACACTACACCCAATAGCATGATAACTACACTTCCAAAAATGTTGTTCTAATCTTATAAATACTGTGTTTAGATTCACATTAAAATTAGCAAAACATGTGCATAAAGATTTGGTAAATGCATTAAGTGCATCTTTTTATTTTTTAGCAAGCTATACTGGAGAAGGGTGTGTAAAGGAAGAAAGTTGAAAGTGTACATAGATAAGAGTAAGGTGATGAGGGTATCAAATGATTTAAATAAGAAAAAATTGGGTATCAGATTGTAGGGAGGAACTAAGGAAGTGAATGTGTTCAGATATTTGGGAGCAAACTTATTGGTGGATGGGTTTGTGAAGGACGAGGTAAACCACAGAACTGATGAAGAAAAAAAGGTGGGTGGTGCATTGAGGTATCTTTGGAGACAAAGAACACTGTCCATGGAGGCAAAGAAGGGAATATTTGAGAGTATAGTGATACCAATACTCTTATATGGGTGTGAAGCGTGGGTGTGAATGTTGTAGAGAGAAGAAGGCTGGAGGCAGTGGAGATGTCGTGTCTAAGGGCAATGTGTGGCATAAATATTATGCCGAGACTTCATAGTGTGGAAATTAGGGAGTGTGGAGTTACTGAAAGTATTATTCAGAGGGCTGAGGAGGGGTTGTTGAGGTGGTTTGGTCATTTAGAGAGGATGGAGCAAAATAGGATGATTTGGAGAGTGTATAAATCTGTAGTGGAGGGAAGGAGTGGTAGGGGTCACCCTAGGAAAGGATAGAGGGAGGGAGGTAAAAAGTTTTTGTGTGCAAGGCTTGGACATACAGCTGGAATATGTGAGCATGTTAGATAGGAGTGGAGACAAATGGTTTTTGGGCCTTGACATGCTGTTGGAGCATGAGCTGGGTAGTATTTTGTAAAAGGATTCTTGGAAACCATTTAGCTGGACTTGAGTCCTGGAGGTGGAAAGTACAATGCCTACACTTTAAAGGAGGGGTTTGGTATATTTGCTGCTTGGAATGACATCTGAACTCTCATATCTGCATGCCTCTGCAAAAACAGTGATTATGTGTGAATGATGGTGAAAGTGTTTCTTTTTTGGGTCATCCTGCCTTGGTGGGAGACAGCTGACATGTTGAAAAAAAAAAGTTAAATGTGTTTGAAAAATACACTACACTGGTTTTGATTTTAAACCACCTTGCAGTGATCTGTGACTCCATGAGTTCAGTGGAAGATGGCTGACATGTTAAATAAAATAATAATAATTTTAAACCACAAATGCTGCCCTAAAATTTGCTGTGCATCTTTTTCTTAAATTTAACTCTAATGGCATTAATATTGAAAAATTGAGAAAGATGTACAATGCCAAAGAAAAATTGGCTCATAACACAGTGGTAGCCCCATCTGCTCACAATCAAATGACCTGGGAGAGACAAGCAGTATTACAAAATATACAGCAATAAAACTTCAGTTATAATTACAGTTCCTAAAATACTAATAATTCTTTAGTAAACATAATTGAACGTGCATGTCAACCAGCTGGCAGAAAACACGCCTTTCTGTTGCTTTTATTTAAGGTATATAAAGGTCATGTTATGAAGCACACATTTCAGTTACCTGGAAATTACCTGGAGAGAGTTCCGGGGGTCAACGCCCCCACGGCCCGGTCTGTGACCAGGCCTCATGGTGGATGAGAGCCTGATCAACCAGACTGTTACTGCTGGCTGCACACAATCCAGCGTACGAGCCACAGCCCGGCTGGTCAGGTACCAACTTTAGGTGCTTCTCCAATGCTTGCTTGAAGACAGCCAGGGCTCTATTGGTAATCCCCCTTATGTATGCTGGGAGGCAGTTGAACAGTCTTGGGCCCCTGACACTTATCGTGTTGTCTCTTAACGTGCTAGTGACACCCCTGCTTTTCATTGGGGGGATGTTGCATCGTCTGCCGAGTCTTTTGCTTTCGTAGTGAGTGATTTTCGTGTGCAAGTTCGGTACTAGTCCCTCTAGGATTTTCCAGGTGTATATAATCCTGTATCTCTCCTGCCTGCATTCCAGGGAGTACAGGTTTAGGAACTTCAAGCACTCCCAGCAGTTGAGGTGTTTTATCTCTGTTAAGGTCTGAAGTTATCAGTAGTATTTTCATAAAGTATGAAAGGTACCATTCTCCTCAACAATTTGCTTCAGATTGAAATGTCAAATGAAATAGGCTAATATTTTTTGCTTTTTGAAAATAAATTGTCCAAAAGTGCTAGAGTGGCATTTATTAATTAAATTCTGTAGCCCCGGAGAATAAAAACAAAAAATATTTGTGCTTTGTATATTCTATAATACACTTAACTGCAAGATTCAACAGTAATTTTCTGGGATTCTACTGGACTTTCACTTCTTGGTCATTGCCAGTAATGTTGTCCCCCTCTCATTATCATCACCAATTACCACAATCATCTATTTTTATTATCATCACCATTTGTCACAAATCATTTCTTTGCATTGTTTATTCTGATAAAACTACCATATAACTTTCTTACATAATGGAATATTAGTTTCTCAGATTCATCTTAACAAAATTATAATAGAGCAGCATAGCTAAATTGAAATAAAATTCCCTTCAGGTATACAGGTACATTGTCACAATGACAATCATAAATACAGTCCATGAAAAGCGTGGAGTATAGAGGTACCACAAGAGGAGTTCAGTGCAAAATATATAGAAACAGGTTTCATGTTGCCTGTGCTCAAATTATACTGCAGCTTGCAGTTAGATTTAACACTTCATATGTATGAGAGATAAAGAACTTTGGACAGGCAAAGACACATATTGAAAAGCTCTTAACCTGGATAATAAAAGAGGCTTTCTTGAAGATCTTGCTGAAAATTTATGAAGACTGGAAAATGAAATTCAGTAGTTACACATCACACAGAAAATGAATAGATAGAAACATGTACAGAAGAGGACAAATGAGACTGAAATAATGACACAGCATAGTGATCCAATAGCAGACAGTGAAGCAACAAGACAAGCTCAAATATTTTCAGAGAAAAAGACAAAAAAAAAAAAAAATGCTTTACAGTAAATAAAATTGCAACATCCACAGGAAAAGAAGAAAATGGGTAATGTAAATGGCCACATTCCAGAAAGTGATCCAATATGTTACAAAGGGATGGTGTCATTTTGATGAAGATTGCTGGAATTTTCATCCTGAGATGTGCAAATCACTACAACTAGAAAATGTTACAACCTAATTTGCTCAAAATTCCATGTGAAAAATTCAAGGGAAGTTTTCTTTATTCTGGTGAGGGGCTTTTGATCCAGGAAATTGGACTTGTTCTCCCTTTCCTTGCATCGAATCTATTTGCCTCTAATTTCCCAGGTGCTGTATGACCTCTAAGAGCTTCATGTTTCCCTCAGATTATAAGAACCCATGCTACAGAATTATGTATCTAGAAAATAAATGTATGGTAAATAAAAATCATCATTTTTGGAGGTAAATAGAAACTATCCAAAAGAAGAAATAGGAACAAATAATCCAGATAGATAAATGCCTTGAAAGCCTTGAAATTTCCACCAAATATTATCCTTCTTGGAAATTTCATCCTCCCACATGTTAAATGGAAGATGATTGATAAGAGAATTGTAACAGACACAGTACTGGAAGCATGTTAGCCCAACAAACATGTGAAATGCATCAGTAAAAACTGTTTAATTCAGGCTAGTTACAAAGCATGCAAATTTTGGGATTCAGCTATACAGCTATATTTGCATCTCATAATTTCACTCAAATGATCTTTTATATAGCATTTATTTCAGAATTGCAGGAGAAAAATGAAGAAAAAATGGGAAGGTGGCAAATTTCTTCACCTTCTCAGCAAATGTAGCACAGTCAAGCCTCAAGTGTCTGTTAAATTAAATACTCTACTGTATACCTAATATAGTATTGTACACAGTATATTGATATATTGCAGTAAACATTGAAAATAAAAGAATTAAAAGTACAATTTACTTGGTGGATTTTGCGCATTATTTCAAAAGTTTGTTATATTGAGTTTACTGTTGATATTGGTACAGTACTTCACACTATGTGAGATTGTGTAACACTGCTTGACCAGTCTTAAAATAGTGAACTTGAACACCACACAAAATTAATACATTATTACTTTTCAATTGCCTTTTCATAGTTGTATTCAGTTTTGAATGCTCTGCAGTCCTATAAGTTTTATTGGCTGTTTTTTTTTTTTTTAAACCTGCCAACACAGGATGTCACAGGTACCCCCAGTTTCTGGTTTAAGAAATTAGAAAGAGGGGAACCCTTTATCCTTCATAATATCCTGTTGAAATGAAGACTGCATTGTCTGGATTTGTCAGTTAAAAATAGGAGAGGAGAGTTATTAAATGGAGAGTTAGAGGTATCGGGAAGATGGAGGGAATATTTTGAGGAATTGTTAAATGTTGATGAAGATAGGGAAGCTGTGATTTCGTGTATAAGGCAAGGAGGAATAACATCTTGTAGGAGTGAGGAAGAGCCAGTTGTGAGTGTGGGGGAAGCTTGTGAGACAGTAGGTAAAATGAAAGGGGGTAAGGCAGCTGGGATTGATGGGATAAAGATAGAAATGTTAAAAGCAGGTGGGGATATAGTTTTGGAGTGGTTGGTGCTATTATTTAATAAATGTATGGAAGAGGGTAAGGTACCTAGGGATTGGCAAAGAGCATGCATAGTTCCTTTGTATAAAGGCAAAGGGGAGCTCTTATATGGGTGTGAAGCATGGGTGATGAATGTTGCAGCAAGGCTGGAGGCAGTGGAGATGTCCTGTCTGAAGGCAATGTTTGGTGTGAATATATTGCAGAGAATTCGTAGTTTGGAAGTTAGGAGGAGGTGCGGGATTGCCAAAACTGTTGTCCAGAGGGCTGAGGAAGGGTTGTTGAGGTGGTTCGGACATGTAGAGAGAATGGAGCGAAACAGAACAACTTCAAGAGTGTATCAGTCTGTAGTGGAAGAAAGGCGGGGTAGGGGTCGACCTAGGGAAGGTTGGAGAGAGGGGGTAAATGAGGTTTTGTTTGCAAGGGGCTTGGACTTTCCAGCAAGCATGCATGGGCGTATTTGATAGGAGTGAATGGAGACAAATGGTTTTTAATACTTGACGTGCTGTTGGAGTGTGAGCAAAGTAACATTTATGAAGGGATTCAGGGAAACCGGCAGGCTGGACTTGAGTCCTGGAGATGGGAAGTACAGTGTCTGCACTCTGAAGGAGGGGTGTTAATGTTGCAGTTTAAAACTGTAGTGTAAAACACCCTTCTGGCAAGACAGTGATGGAGTGAATGATGGTGAAAGTTATTCTTTTTCAGGCCACCCTGCCTTGGTGGGAATCAGCCAGTGTGTTAATAAATAATAGTAAATGTTCTTACTACATTCACTTGAACTGTCATTGGATACAACACTCATTTTTCATTATTATCACAATTATTAATAAAATGCCACATTTGTATAACTAACTCCACCATTATTTGTCATATTTTCACCAGCATTAGCATTTGTCATATTTTTTTACCACCTTATCATCATTGCCACAATACTTTAACCATCATTATCATCATATTCTTAATGTTTACACCACCATAGTAATCAGAATTTATACTTTCACCTTCATTACCACACTGACTATCACCATTCCTCCATCTACAATACTTGTTGCTAATATCATTTTTACAAGGGTAACTGCCATCATCATCACTGTCACCACCAACACTCCCACTGTCTCTTATCACTAGTGTCACCACTTTTACTTCCACCATGGTCTCCATGTCACTATTCATGCCTCTTTATTACTGTACCACCAACTCTTGCACTTGTATTATCACCACTCATTGTCCCTGATCATTGTTTTTAAGCTAATTCACAAATAACCTGACCTGCACTTAGGAGAGAAAACTTGTAATGATGCTTCAGTCCATTCTTGTCATCTGTCAAGTTAGTTGCAACTGGGTAATGGTGAAGGAGGGACAGAAATGTTGTCATAAGTTTTCTTTCATAATGCAGGTTATTTGTGAATTATTTCAACCACATATTGTGACTTTTATTTCTCTTTGTCTTTGACCTAACTCTATCATCAGTATGTGTTTGTCATTGTCGTTAACACTGCCATAAATCAAGTAATGTTGTATTTTAGATTTTATGCTTGTGTTGCATTCTAGAGTTTTACTCGTATTATTAACCCGTAAACGGTCCAAGCAGATCTACGTTCACATGCGTAGTGCTCCAAAAGCAGATCTACTTTTTTTTACATATTTTCAAATATAACAAAAAAAACGTAGATCAAAGTTTTTTTTACACGTTTTCAAATGTAAAAAAAAAAAGATCTACTTATTTTACATACTATCAAATGTTGAAAAAACGTATATATACGTTTGGACCGTTTACGGGTTAAATATCTTGTGTTGTATCATGTAAAAATATGTACAGGTATAAATTTTTAAACCTTTACAGTATATAAGGTAAATTATCTCATGAATAGTATACTTTAAATTCCTATGTATATTGAATATGTAGATCCATCACATTTTCTTCACAGTAAGTTATAAGGTGAGTTGCATAAGCCAATGCTACACACATTGACACAGTTGACATTGTGCCTTGTTTATAAGCAACATCTGTCAAGCACGTAACATATGCGTGTAATCTCTTCAGTTGTCAGGCATGTAACATATATGTGTAAGCTCTACATTTCAAAACGACAAGTTACATGTTGCAGAAAACAAGCATGCATGAAAGGGACTCAACTAGCATGAGGTATGTATAATAAAAAGAGTATGTAAAATAAAAGGGAATAGAAGAATGATAGGGGGTTAGTATATCTGTGATGCGAGTGGTGTATAACACATGAGCAAATGCAAAAATAGTTGGAGAAAGACTTTAAATCATCGTGGGGTGATGAACTGAATTTGATTGTCAAAGAGTTATCCAAATATTTTCAAATTTAGTAGCAATTAGTCATCAGACCATAGGGATAAAGTATATAGGTTTACTAAAGGAATGCAGGGAGTGTCAGTGCCACATAAACAATGATTCCAAATATACTGGTGAAACAGGGAAATCAAGGGTTGTTTTAAACAACAAAAGTACAGTATTTTACTAGAACCAGACTAAGAATCAAATGCCTTATTTCTACATATAATGTACAGTATACTGATCATGCAGCTGACTAGACTCAAGATTGGCAGCTTATCAGCAATTCTTTTGTATAACACAACATATATTAACTGGTAAGCGAGTGGTCACGTAGATCTACGTCAGTATGATCAGTGATGGTGCTGTAGATTCGCGCATGCATCATAGTTTGGTGCGACTGGTAATATTTGGCTTAGACATGAGAAAGGCTCTATGCAGTGGGTGTGTGCACATAAAAAAAAAAAATCCTTTTCCACACAGTGCATAATGGGAGCAGCTAACCTCTGACTTTGCATTTGGGTTAAAATAGCTATTCTGGGGCAGTTTCTGCTTTGGTTTTAGTGGTTGTTTCTAGGTGTCAATAGATAAACCAGAAAACATACCAGAAGTGAAAATTAACGTCAGCCTACAGGGTCAAGTCGGATGCTGCTGAGGCATCTACTAGGTCAACTGACTCACTTACTAGGAAAACTTTGTTAAAGTCATTTGTTCTTCTTGAAACTCTTAAACCATCAAGTATTAACTTACATTGTTATAAGGGCTCTCCTTCCTCACAGGCAATTTTATAGTAAGGTAGGGCTTTGTGCCTTTATTATATAAACACTAGAGGAAGCCCATTGGCTGCGGGCAGTGTTGGCAATACGTAGTAGTGGCAGGTGGGATAAAGAGGTGAGTGGCACCAGCCTGGGCTGGGGCTGGTGCCACCCATGTCCCACACCTCAACAACCCTCAGCCACTTCTGTCACCCACACAGAATCACCACCATTACCACAACCAGCCACAAATATCCAGCAATCACCACCAGACCACATCTGAGATTGGCAGGAGGATGCACACCTTGTGCCCAATCCCCATCAGTTTTATAGCACACACAATGGAATCTAGCAGAACTGTAGCCTCGGCAACAACGCCTTGAACTGGAGTTC